AAGGTCAAGATCAACATTTATTTCAAACAGAAATCATTTGTAATATTATAAATGTAATTATACTGTCACTTTTTAATATATTTTTGCTAAATAAAATATATATATTACTTTTAAAACAGCCTTTTAAACAATAATGCATATATGTATTGGCAGACAAAAACTCACATGAAGATATTTAATAACATTAGGGATGTTAATTTCAGTTAACTTTGCTCACCGACAACCACAGCTCGTTAATCGGATTCATTTATTAATTTTCTTGTCGGCTTAGTCCCTTTATTAACCCATAATTAAGTCAACTTAATAAATTTTACAAATTTAGGTAGATTGAACATAAAACTATTAACCTAAAAAAAAAATCAAGAATGGTGTTGTTTCAGCTTATTTTAAATAAGCAGTTTGAACAAGCAGCAAATATATATATATATATATATATATATATATATATATATATATATATATATATATATATATATATATTTTTTTTTTTTTTTTTTTTTTTAACTGCTCACTGAATCTCCCACTGTCTGCAATTTATTAATGTTAAATAAAGCTATGAAAAACATGCTGGATAAGTTGGTGGTTCACTCCACTGTGGCGACCCCTAATAAATAAAGGAACTAAGCCTAAAAGAAAATGAATAATTAAGGCTGAATTTTAGCATCATTACTCCAGTCAGAGTCACAAGAGTGTTAAGAAATCATTTAAATATGCTGAGTTGATTTATTTATTCCATTTCATTTCTTCATCGCTTTTACAATGCTTGTGTCAAACTTGGAAAAAAAACAATTAAAACCCATTATTTATTTGCTGTATTGATGTTCAGGAAACTATGATCAGCTATTAGCTGGATGGTTTCGACCTGAATGAGTAGCTTTTCGTGGACATAGCTAAATTAAGACCGGTTTAAAATGATGCAAGACCTACAACATAATATTTGGGTAAATGTAAGACTTTTAAGGCCTAAAATTTAGTTTTAGCAATTTTAAACATTTTAAGACTTTAAAACCCCTGTGTCTTATGTTTTTCAGTGTACACACGTCGGATGTCACTGCTCTTACCGGGTGCAATAGCAAACATGTGGTGTTGTGCTGTAGGATGCCAAATTAGAATATTAGAAACCTTAAATTTTACTGTACACCACACTGCTTTTAATGCCAACCGCAGACGTCTTTGGCTGACAGCTATCAAAAGAGTTTAATGGAGTGAGGACCCAATTAAAAATGCTGGACTCTGCAGTACTCATATCAGGTAAGTTCACGCTATGCTGATTCATACGCATCACTCGTTTTTGACTGCAGCAATGATTTCAGCAAAAATTAAACTGCGGACACTGAATGCTGAGAATGAAATGTAAACGATCACAAACTTGCCGTACAGGTGCAGTCTGCTGTCAGAATGCAGTTGTTTTGTTTGTTGATGATTACCCAGGGCTTGTATAGCTTCGTCTTCTTTCCTTATCTTAGGCTAGGCAGAACCTCCGTTTTTAGCAAAACAAAGTTTTGAATCAGGTCATCATGTAAGATTATTTCTTGCACATGACCACAGAGAACAGCATTGTAGGCATCCAAAGACTTGTAGGCCTTCAACTCCTCTCTTGTAAAATCACTTGGAGTTTCAATAAGATAGTATATTTCGGGCTGGATGCTTGGCCATTTCGTCTCACCCAATATCCATTGGGAGGGTGCTACTGCAAATGGACCTGTCAGATGAACGCTGCTCGCTTTAATGTTAATTTTACCAAATAACAGAGCTTATCACTGGGTGATGAGCTATTACAATACGCTGAAAGCATTTTGTAAATAATATATATAATATGCAATCAAAATAGCTTATCTCTAAGACAACAACAAACTCTGTACTGCATCGGATGTCATTCCCTCGCAGTAAATGCTAGCGCTCCTGTTTTTTTCTGCAACCTTGCTGCGCTCGCATATCCTGAATGTTTACAAAATGGTAATTTGTCTATTGTGCGACACAAAAACCTGCCTTGTGAAGCCAAATTGTATATTTCATACAGTATTATTTTCTTGTTTTTAACACTGACAGAACTATTTGAAAAGATGTACACGATAAAAAAAATGCTGGGATTCACACAATTGGTTTGTGTTAGGACAACATAAAAGAATTAAGTAACTTATTAGTTTTTACATTTTTAAGTTGATTGAACATAAAATAGTTAAGTTGTCCCCCCGAAAAAAATCAAGAATTGTGTTGATTCAGCTCATATTAAATAAGCAGTTTGAACAAGCAGCAAACATCACTCTCTGAGTGCATAATTCAAGGAGATGAGTTATAGTATGTACTTCGAACACTGACATCAATTACAGAGCAACAACAATTAACAGTTCGACAACATATCATTGATATTTAATTGACACGAGCGCCAGATGCCTCTCAGCAGAAAACATCGATCGCTGAGAAACAGAGAGCATAACGAAGCTCCACATCATGCCAAATCACGTCTTCTGCTGATTCACAGAGATGCTGCGTCTGGATGTTGGATGTCATGTTGGAAATCAATAATAAAGATCAGCTCCGCATGCATTCGCAGGACGAAGAGGAAATAAAGATGAATTTTGAAAGACTATCTAGTACACAATATGATTCATGCACTTATATCCATACAAACTGTAAGCTTTGTATTCATACAATTCTTATACAAAAGCTATGCTCTAGATGGAAGCTTAATAGAGGATGATGGGAGGTAAATTAAACTGTAAAAAGATATATCTCACCCAAAAATAAAAGTTCAGTCACCATTTACACAGTACATCACCGTTCATTTGGCTAACTGGTATATGTTTTCCCAATGTTTACCAGTTTCTTCAAAATCTCTCCATTTGTGTTCAGCAGAAGCTGGTGAAGGTTTGAAACCACTTGAGTGTGAGTAAATAATGAGTACATTTTTATTTTCTATTCTATAGGTAATGTAATGTATTTTTTATTTAATGCCATGTCAGCAACCAAGGCTGTTTTCATGGCAGGAATCTTTCAACAATAAATATACAATTTAAAAAAATCAACAAACAAAATAAAACATAAATTAAATAAGATTTTTGTGTTAATACGTGATAAAAAATCTAAAATCTTTTCTGGTTTCACTTTGTTAAAAATGTCCTTAAAAGAGTTCATTTCATAAAAAAAGGCTTCTGAAATCAGTAAAAGCAGGACAGTCCAGTAAAATGTGTTTTATAGTAAGAGGAGTTTTGCAGCACAAACACTGAGTAGGGTTTTCACCTTGGAGCAAAAAACCATGTGTTATTCTTGTATGCCCAATACGACATCTGGTAAAAACTACTTGATCAAATCGATTGTTAAAAAGTCTTAAAATCCTGTGTGAAATTTCAGGTTGGATTTCATGTAATTTATTGTTTTCTAATGCATCCCATTCCTTTTGCCACTTGTTTAAAATGTAAGCGTTAATAAAAGGTTTCATCTCTGACGGAGGGATTTGGCATTTGTTCACTACTTGCTTCAAAGCAACTTTAGCAGCTGCATCAGCTCGCTCATTGCCTGAAAGTCCGACATGTCCTGGAACCCAGCAAAAAATGATGTGATAAAACTGAATTTGTAGTTGGTGAACTTTAGCTAAAATATTATTAATCAAAGGATGATCATTCTTTGAAGATTCCATAACTTGGAGGCATGATTTAGAGTCTGTAATAAATTTCTTTTGTTGGGCACTTTCTATATTGACCTTATTCTCCGCAGATGAGCGGGCGCTGCCATTTGAATCTTCTTGGCTTGAGACTTCCGGTCTCATTCACTTCCATTCATTTTTAGACATTAAAAACTGCTTGTTTCGCTGTTTGATGTTGCAAACTGATATTTTCTTGTTATATTATTCTACTTGGTCTGTATAGTCATGCAAACATTTGTTTGTAGAGCAAGTAGTTTGACCGTTTTTTGCCGTTTATTATTCCTAGTCATTTCTCCCATAGGCGACTGAAACAGAAGTTCTAAGACAATCACGAAAACAGGCGCACTTCCGCATTTTAGAATAAGGTCAATACTCCAATGCTAAAAGTAAAGCGCGGGCTTCAGCTGTGAATATGGAGCATTCTTTAGGCAGACTGATTCCATAATGTTGTTGACCAGTTACCATTGCTGCTGCTGCTACGCCATTTTCCACCTTTGAGCCATCTGTAAAAATAGGTGAATGCTGAGAATATTGGCTTCTAATATCCAAATATTGTTGTCTGTAAACATTGGGAGGAGTTACTTCTTTCTTCTGATTTCCTAAATCCATATTGATTATGGGCTTCTTTAGAGTTCAATGAGGCAGGGCACTGAAGTGTATTTGACTTAATATGTCCAGGTATATGTTTAAATTTTGTAGATGTGGGTTAATGCGCACACCAAATGGTCTGATGGCTTTTGGCTTACTTGCATATAACTGTCTATCCTATAGGCAAACCTTCAGATTCTTCATATAAAACATTTCACATCTGTTTCTAAAGTTATCCCAACAAACACACACCGCTGCGTCAATGTAGCGACCTTCCTACAACATTGTACAAACCTTGTAAAAAAGGTTGAAGATCAGCGTTGTTGCTAAGGGTTGTCACAACGATGTCATAATGTTGCTAATTACAATATTAATGAATGCTACAGCATAGTAACTATAGTGAACTGCTAGCTGTAATAAATACTGTTTTAAACGAAACTAAATTATATTTTATTGAAATATATATTATATTCAGTATATTGGGTTATTTTGTTTATATTACTATAGTTGTATCATCAAAACAACTACACAACTGCCTGCCACAACAGATTATTTTAAGTATTTTACTATAGTATTGTTCAAAACCCTGCTAGTACTATAGTATTTTTAAAAGAGCAAAACGCAGTTGATGGCAAGTTGCAGCAAGACTTTATTAACCTAAAACTGAAACAAGCGAATGTTTATCTAAATAGCTTTTATGAATATATGTGCGTAATCTGACGTAAACGGTATGGAAGAATCTGGGCTTGAGTTTGACTGACAGGATAAACTCCATGGAAACCGCAGAGGAAACGACAACAAACTCAAGTCAGCAGTCAACATGAGGTGAGTTTCTGCTCTGCTTTTAGTTCTGCTGTCAGTCAGAGATCAGACATCTTTTCTCTGAATCATAACCATGAATAAAAAACATGTATATTCCCCACCTTTGTTTGTGTTTAGTGTTCTTCGGAAGGATAACAATGAAGCGGTTGTTGGTGGGTCTCCGCCGGAGAGCGACATGTTTCACGCGGCCGCGAGCGGAGCGCGTGACTGGTTGAGTTTGACACTGAAAAAAGCGCGAAAACCACTGATTACCGACAAACACGTGCGTGCTTTATATACTTATTCAAGGCTCAATTCAGCTCCAACTGCGTAGATATTACACATTGCATAATTTTCACTACTCACTTTACCTGTGCTGCCAGTGATAGACAATGTCCAGTGATGATGACGTCAGCGTGGCCGTGGCTGTGGCCTCCTCTCACTCATGCTTTCTTTTCTGGCTTTATTTATTTATAGTGACTGCGTTTATCACTTTACAGTAGACTACAACATTTTCGGACATAAAGAGTTAACCTATTAATCAAGATATTATTGGGGTGACTAAAAAGCCTCTCTACATTCTTCAGTGCAATAATCTTACAGTAATTTGGTGACTATAGTGAAAGTATTTACATATTATTGCCCTTATGCTGTTTGCTGTTGATTGTGGTGTGCGCTTTAGTCTTTCTCAAGACGTTTTTTATCATTCTTAAGAATTATATAAATATTGGCTTTTCTTTTTCTATGAAAAAAATATAAAACTTTACTCTGGTCCTCGTCCATTACTACTTTACCACCTATACACTCACCGGCCACTTTATTAGGTACACCTTACAAGTACTGGGTTGGACCCCCTTTTCCCCTCATAGATTCAACAAGGTATTTAAAGTATTCAACAGAGATTTTGCTTTATATTGACATGATAGCATAACGCTTTTGCAGCAGATTTGTCGGCTGCACATCCATGATGAGAATCTCCCGTTCCACCACATCCCAAAAGTGCTCTTTTGGATTAGGATCTGGTGACTGTGGAGGCCATTTGAGTACAGTGAACTCACTGTCATGGTCAAGAAACCAGTCAAAGATAATTCGCGCTTTATGATATGGCATGTTATCCTGCTGGAAGTAGCCATCAGAAGATGGGCACACTGTGGTCATAAAGGGATGGACATGGTCAGCTACAATACTCAGGTAGGCTGTGGCATTGACAGCAATGCTCAATTGTTACTAATGGGCCCAAAGTGTGTCAAGAAAACAACCCCCACACCTTTATACCACCACCTGCAGCCCGAACCGTTGATACAAGGCAGGATGGATTCATGCTTTCATGGTGTTGCCACCAAATTCTGATCCGACCATCCGAATGTCGCAGCAGAAATGGAGACTCATCAGACCAGCAACGTCTTTCCAATCTTCTATTTTCCAATTTTGGTGAGCCTGTGCAAATTGTAGCCTCAGTTTTCTGTTCTTAGCTGACAGGAGTGGCATCCGGTGAGGTCTTCTGCTGCTGTAGCCCATCTGCCTTAAGGTTAGACGTGTTGTGCATTCAGCGATACTGTTCTGCAGACCTCTGTTGTAACAAGTGCTTATTTGCGTTACCATTGCCTTTCTATCAGCTTAAACCAGTCTGGCCATTCTCCTCTGACCTCTAGCATCAGCAAGGTGTTTGCGCCCACAGAACTGCCGCTCACTGCATATTTTCTCCATTCTCTGTAAATCGTAGAGATGGTTGTGTGTGAAAATCCCAGTAGATCAGCAGTTTCTGAAATACTTAGACCAGCCCGTCTGGCACCAACAACCATGCCACATTCAAAGTCACTTAAATCCCCTTTGTTCCCCATTCTGATGCTCGCTTTGAACTGCTGCAGATTGTCTTTACTATGTCTAAATGCATTAAGTTGCTGCCATGTAATTGGCTGAATTGAAATTTGCGTTAAGCAGTTGGACAGGTGTACCTAATAAAGTGGCCGGTAAGTATATCACATTCAAAATAAAAATTCGCATTGTATTCAAGGCAAGGCAAACTTTATTTATAGAGCACAATTTAACACAACCGTAGTTGATCCAAAGTGCTTTACAATAAAATAAACTAGACAATAAAACTAAAAATAATATTCAGGATGCAATACTTCATACATGCATGTATATCTTAAAAAAAACATGTAAAAACATTTATAAAACGTTTTTATCAAAATAATATAGGAAAATATTTTTGTTTCGTTTATTCATTTGTGATTAATTTTGAAAAATCGTTTGACTGCAATAATTTATACAAATAATTAATGATTATCTGACATTATCTTTTCTTTTTAAACTTCTATTTTAAGACCATCTAACCCTTTCCTCCCATATTTATGTATACAGATTGATTATTTATACAGAATTATCATATTATTTACATGTGCAATCTGGGGACCGCGCTTTTGCTGTTACTGCCCCAAAACTATAAGCATATTTATATAAGAATATTTTGCTGTTATTGCCCCAAAACTCTGGAACGCAGATTGGAATGTAGATTTTATTTTCAACACTTTGGGCAACGTTGTGTTGTAAAAAATGTGCTATATAAATAACCAACTAACTAACTAACTATATGATACTTATGTTGTTGTTTTGATTGACTTCTGTTACACTCCGGATAAAAGCATGATCTGCCCAGTGATTTAATGCAAATGTCTAAATGTGTGTGTGTGGTTTTGTTTCAGGGTCTCTCTGTGCTTCATATAGCTGCCCTTCATGGTCATCTGGACTGTATGGAGCTGCTGCTGGCTGGAGGTTATGCCGATGTGAATGTCAGTTGTCCTCATGGACGCAGACCTTTACATATGATGCTGACGGCTCAGAGTCAACCAAACACTCACGCCGGACTCATTTACTTGCTGGAACACGGAGCCCACATCAGTGTGTATGAAACACCTCTGTTTTACCAGTAGTTGTGGATCAGTATGTAATATTCATATTTAATAATGAAGGTAAACATAAGTCTGGGTATTTATTAGCTACTTTTATGTTTGTATTAAAGTCAATAAGATATTTTAAATGTAGAGGAGGCAGATAGAAAGGGATTATATTATACTTGAAGATACAAAAACCTGTATATTTTTTTACTGAATAATAAAATGTAATGACATGCACTTATGCTTCGTGCAAAATTAGACCGATATAATATTATAAAGAAAATTAGTTTTGTTTTTGTTACTGCATATATACAGTGCTGGGCAACATGGTGGCTCAGTGGTTAGCACTGTCACCTCACAGCAAGAAGGTTGCTGGTTCGAGCCCCGGCTAGGTCAGTTGGCATTTCTGTGTGGAGTTTGCATGTTGTGATGAAAATGAGCCCACCAGCTCCTGTTCAGGGGGAGAACTGTGAGCTCGTAAGGGAAAAATGATGGCTTACTCGCAAAGCACTGTCATGCAAGGATTATTCATTCATTTTCTTGTCAGCTTAGTCCCTTTATTAATCCGAGGTCGCCACAGCGGAATGAACCGCCAACTTATCCAGCACGTTTTTTTTACGCAGCGGATGCCCTTTCAGCTGCAACCCATCTCTGGGAAACATCCACACACACACACAATCATACACTAACACTACGGACAATTTAGCCTACCCAATTTGCCTGTACCGCATGTCTTTGGACTGTGGGGGAAACCGGAGCATACCTGTCAACCCTCCCGTTTTTCCAGGGATTCTACCGTATTTCAGGCACGTGCACACATAGGGCTCAACCTGTGCAGTGCACATGCCCTTTTTAGTCTTGAATATAAAGTGCCCTTCCAAAATGATGCCCCCACAACCCCCTCCCCCCCTACCGCCCTTCAGTAGGCGCGTGACAACACAGCTCTTAAGTACGCGCGCTCCCCACCCCCTGCTTTACAGTACGAGCGCTGATCACATTAAATTATTATGGATAAAATTATTGAATCTTTGTTTAATGGCTCTCAAAACCAATCCAGAGCACAAAACATTCAATCCTTAAAAAAATCCCACAATGCACCTTCCTTTAAAAATGCAGTTATCAATGCGGTGAGCCAAAAATCCACTATAATGCCTAAATCTATGCTTTGAAATGATTTTTGGGCCAGGCAGCTGAGGGAAATGTGCTTCAGCTACATTGAGCATAATGCTGTGTCCTAACAACACGTGACACGACAAGATTCCAGCTACAAGCAGTTACTCTGTCTGAACCAAACAAGATGTGACATGACAGAAACATTTTAATGGACTCCCAATAAAATGGTAAAGGTTTTTAGTCCAATTAATACATATTAAAACTCTTTAACATTATTAAGAGGCTATTGAGTAACTGGTGTTGTTGGTTTGCACCGAATCATAGTTCTGAGTTTCATTTTTAAACAGTTGGCTAGTTATTTTTTTATTTAAGATCTAAGGTGAACAATCTGCTGCTGCTTTCAGTGGTACGGCAATAAATGTCACGTAAAATGGTATTTATACTCACATTGGTAGTATTTAACACTTAATAAAGCACTTAATCAGTACCAGAGGTGATTATTGACTACGTTTACATGGACATCAGTAATCAAATTATTTGCCTTAATCTAATTAAGACAATAATAAGATTAAGGATTTACATGAGTTGCTTTTTGAATGTTTCTTTCATGATCCCGTTTTACATGTTATATCACATAATTCGATTAATGTCATTGCGTCACCGCGCTATCTGCATTTCCTTCAGAGTTTTAGGCAATTTCGGGTGTTTATTATTAATTTGTTGACTTTAACTGCAGTTTGGCACTTTCATTTTATGTGATGTGGGGCATGCCCCTCGTGACAAACGAGATATTGGATGCAACTATGAACTGCTGGAAGAGTGTTGTCTTAATGGAAGTTCATACCGCATGCTAAATGGAAGAAGAAAAAAAACTCTGCATTTCACGAGGCAGGTGTCTGTGGTCTGCACTGACTCGCTAGGTGCAAAGAGTCTCAAACAGCCATGTGTGTGTGTGTGTGTGTGTGTGTGTGTGGACACACATCCTGTTGCAAAACGCAGTAAAATGCCCAACATGACGGTAATAGTTTGATTAAGGTTTTTACATGTCTGTACTGCACTTCAATAATGCGACTAAAATCGGCATACTCCACACGTCTTAATTCCATTTATCTTTAGTTCGATTATGACCTTAATCTGATTAAGTAAATTTAAAAATTGCTGTTTACATGGTAGATTCTTAATCAGAGTATTGTCTTAATCGCATTAAAAGAATTATTGGTGTCCACTGTCAATGTAAACGTAGTCACTGTCACTAGTGTGTCGCAGGAACATTTTTAGTGGGTCGCGGAGTGTGTGGTCAAAAAAACCAAGAAAAGTTTATTTTTTTACTTATTTTGCTTATACCAGACTTTTATTTTGAAATTCATGCGGGACAACCCTACCATTTGACATGTGAAGTTTCATTTAATTATAGCAACAAATATGTCAAAGCCCAAGTACAACCCCGAATATGTAAAGTATGGATTTACATGTATTGACGACAAAAAAGACTTAAAGCCTCAGTGTCATATGTAGTGAGGTGCGCTTATAAGAGAGCATGAAACCTTCTAAAATAAAATGACATTTAGAAACCAGACGTTTTATTAACAGTTCAGTTTAGTTCATGGTAACTGAACACTGTTTACAGTATTTGTTGTTTTTACTGTGTAATATTTCTATAATTTGATCCATTTTTTAAATGACAGCAATAAAGTATTGTTTATTTGTAAGTCTCTGTGAATGTCTTATGATGTATCTGTCACTACTTGTGTATGTTAACAAATAAATACAAATTAATTATAATTCCTAAAATTGTATTATAGCTCCTAAAAATTTGGGTCGCGGCTTGATGACCATGTGCCAAACCAGTTGAGAACCACTGCCTTAGCATATGTTGTAGTTCTGCCGTGAAGTTCCATTTCAATGCTTATTTAAAAATTTATTTTGGAACTCTCAAAGGACTTTCAAGTCGTAAAGCGACCAGATCTGTAAATATACTCCAAAAGCTAATATCCTCTTCTCTATGGTAATTGTTACGTATACCTGCTCATTCATTTGTTTTTTTCTCTTCTTTTTTCGTTGTGTTATTTTGCTTACAGATGTTGTGCTAAAATGTGAATATCCTATTGTAAGATTAGTTAAGCATTTGATTGGAAACGTTCAGTAAATGCAATAATAAAATAATAATAAATAAATAAATATTAATAATGACAACAGTAGTTAAAAAAGTAAAATAAAAAGCGGTGACGTTGCAGAGATACAAACGGTTTCTAAAATAGAAGTTTTGCACGTCGCTGTCGCAAATGGTCAGCAGAAAAACTCCTTTTAATGTGGAAATTTATTTATTATTTTTTTTTTTTCGATTTTATCTTGTGGCGATGCAGTGGCGCAGTATGTAGTGCTGTCGCCTCACGGCAAGAAGGTCGCTGGGTCGAACCTCGGCTCAGTTGGTGTTTCTGTGTGGAGTTTGCATGTTCTCCCTGCCTTCGCGTGGGTTTCCTCCGGATGCTCAAGTTTCCCTCACAGTCCAAAGACATGCGGTACAGGTGAATTGGGTAGGCTAAATTGTCCGTAGGGTATGAGTGTGTGTTTGAATGTGTGTGTGGATGAAAGGGCATCTGCTGCGTAAAATCATATTGGATAAGTTGGCGGTTCATTCCGCTGTGGCAACCCTGGATTAAAAAAGGGACTAAGCCGACAAGAAAATGAATGAATGAATGATTTTATTTTGTGTCGCATGTCGTTAGGACACAGTGTAAGAGTGGTCATCTCACTGTTGTTGTTCCTGCAGCTCCACAGATGAAGGGCTGACCCCACTGCATCAGGCCGCAGCTGAAGGTCTGACCGACTGCACTGAGACGCTGGTGAGACACGGAGCAAACACACACACTCCAGACACCAGTGGACACACACCTCTCGACCTTGCGCGCATCTGGGGTCACAGAGACACTGCCAGGTACCACAAAATAATGACAAATACACATCGCAGGGTGTCATATAGACGTTCCATTGAATTGGGCTGCGCAATACATCATTTCAGCATTGATATCACAATGTGATCCTTTTATTATTTGCATGTGTTGCATGTTGAGGCCTGTGACTGTATGAGGATTTTTAAATCATTCAGGCAATAGAAATGTGTAACTTTAACAATGACTCTTTTTATTTTATATTCTTATATTATTTTATACAAATATATTTTGCAGAATAATTAATAAATATATCAACTAAAGAGTTTATATTTACCATAATGATTGCATGTTCAAGAAACAATTTATTGAGACAGACATTATCCAGGACACTCCTGAAAAAAACAAAGGTTTTCATGGTTAAATAAAGGTTTAAAATAAAAATAATGTCAATATTTACAATAAACGTTTTTTTTTTTTGTTAGAATATTTTATTTAAGGAAGGTTCTGTTTGTTATAAAAGTTAAAAGGCCTGTAGTTTGACTTAAATTTAAACAATTAAGACTTTAATATCTACAAGTAATCAAGTCAAGTAATTCAAATCCCTAGCGATAAATTAAACTGGTAATTTTACAAGTTATGTAATAACATTTTCATTCATTCATTCATTTTCTTTTTGGCTTAGTCCCTTTATTATTCTGGGATGGCCACTGCGGAATGAACCGCCAACTTATCCATGTTTTACGCAGCGGATGCCCTTCTGGCTGCAACCTATCACTGGGAAACACCCATGCACACTTTATTACATACTATACACCACTGACAATTTTAGCTTACCCAATTCACATACAGCACATGTCTTTGGACTCGGGGAGACCAGAGAACATAAAGCCACGCGAAGGCAGGGAGAACTTGCAAACTCCACACAGAAATACCAACTGGCCAAGCCGAGGCTCGAACCAGCAACCTTCTTTCTAAGAGGCAATTGTGCTACCCACTGTGTCACCCTTAATAACATTTTTAAAGCAGTAATTAGTAATTTAATAATGACTTTGATGCAGTAACTTACCCAACACTGAGCGTGAAGACATACAAATGAACAAAACATGTTTATGTAATCGACAGGTTTCTGAAAGATGCCATGTGGAGGAAAGACAAAGAGCAGCAGATGAAGAGAAGCAAACATCAGCACAATCTCAGACAGGAGCTGCTCATGATGACCAAGAGCAGAGGAAAGGTCTAAACCGTCTCTACTTTAATAACATAAAGACTGTATGTGAATTAAGCAACATCTTTTAGGTCAAGACGCAGGGATTTCTATTAGAAAATAAACACTTTTTTTTTTTTTACTTGATTTTATTTGTATAGCACTTGTCATTATGTAAAGGCAGATTTACTGAACATTTGGATGTAATATTATAATATCTTTATTATTATAATGTCTTAGAGATGTTTTAAGCAAGGCAAGTTTAATTATATAGCACATTTTATACACAGTGGTAATTCAAATTGCTTTACATAAACAAGAATAAAAGAAACGAAAATAAAAAGAATTAAAAATGATTAAAAACAGGTAAAAGCAGATTAAAGGTGTTAAAACCGGTTTTAAAGGAATGAAAAGTAAAGAAAGACATAGTAGTGTGATCTGTCAGACATAGCACAGTGCTCATACAGTAAAGGCACAGCTAAACATGTTTTCAGTCTTGAAGTGAATTGTGCCTAATGTTGGAGCACATCTGATCATTTCTAAAAGCTGATTCCAGCAGCAGGGGGCGCTGTTAGTAGCTGAAGGCCGATTCACCCTGCTTTGACTGGACTCTTGGAATTTCTCATTTAATTGATTCTAAAGGTCTGAGTGATCTGTTGGGTTTGTATTCTGTGAGCAAATCTGTAATGTATTGAGCTCCTAGGCCATTTAGTGATTTATAGACCAGTAATAATACTTTAAACTCTATTCTGAATGTAACTGGGAGCCAGTGTTAAGACCTGAGGACAGGTATGATGTGCTCTGATTTCCTGGTTCTGGTCAGAATCCTGGCCACAGCATGTCTGTCTGTCTGTCTTTTTGGGAAGGCCAGTGAGGAGACGGTTACAGTAATCCACCCTGCTGCTGATAAAAGCATGAACAAGTTTCTCTAAGTCTTCACTGGAAACAAAGCATCTGATTCTTGCAATATTTTTGAGATGATAGTATGCTGATTTACTGACTGCTTTGACATGACTGTTGAAACTCAGATCTGACTGCAGAGTCACACCAAGATTCTTGACCTTATTTTTTTTGTTGTTTGACCCTTAAAGCCAAAGTACGCATTCACCTTGAGAACCTCATCTCTGTTCTCAAATTTTCAGTTTTAGAAATGGCAAATTATATTCTTATTATAATAAAAATAAATTCAGACTAGCTTACAATATACAATATGGCTTTATAGGAGTATACAGAAGACAAAAAAAACTTTATATTAAAAACAGCAATATTATTCATATTTTGTAACAGAATGAAAATTGTCTGTTCTTCCGTTCATATCTAACTATCTATCTATCTATCTATCCGTCCGTCCGTCCGTCCGTCCATCCATCCATCCATCCTTTTTCAAACTGTTTTAATCTATGTACTGTATCTATCTGTCCATCTATTAGATGCTTTGTTTCCAGTGAAGACTTAGAGAAACTTGTTCATGCTTTCATCAGCAGCAGGGTGGATTACTGTAACGGCCTCCTCACTGGCCTTCCCAAAAAAACAGTCCAGACAGTTGCAGCTCGTCCAGAACGCTGCGGCCAGAATTCTGACTAGAACCAGGAAATCAGAGCACATCACACCTGTCCTCAGGTCTCTACACTGGCTCCCAGTTACATTCAGAATATATTTTAAAGTATTATTACTGGTTTATAAATCACTAAATGGCCTAGGAGCTCAATACATTACAGATATGCTCACAGAATACAAACCTAACAGATCACTCAGATCTTTAGGATCATATAAACTAGAAATTTCAAGAGTTCAGTCAAAGCAGGGTGTATCAGCTTTCAGCTATTAACAGCGCCCCCTGATTGCTGGAATCAGCTTCCAGAAATGATCAGATGTGCTCCAACATTAGGCACAATTAAATTCGAGACTGAAAACACATCTGTTTAGCTCTGCCTTTACTTAATGAGCCCTGTGCTACGTCCCACAGATCGCACTATTATGTTTATCTTTTCTTTTTTATTATTTTATAACCTGTTTTAACACATTTTTATCTGCTTTTAATACTTTTTATTATTTGTTTTTATTATTATTTTATTTTTTATTCATGTTCTTTTATTCTTGTTTATGTAAAGCACTTTGAATTGCCACTGTGTATGAAATGTCCTATATAAATTAAACTAGCCTTCCCTTGTCTGTCTGTCTGTCTGTCTATCTATCTCTATCTATCTATCCTACATCCATCTGTCCATCCGTCCATCCATCCATCTTTCTGACAGGCGGACAAGACAGACAGATGAATGAATGGATGGATGGATGAATGGAGAGATAGATGACGGACTGACAAACAGACAGACAGAAAAAGATACAGATAAATAGAATAGGAGGATTATTAAATGGTGTGTAAATTGATTATTAGTGTATTCTGTATGTCTCTATACGCTTCCGCAGTGTGTCAGTGTGCTGGATCTGCCTCGTCTGGGTCGGTCTGGAAAAGCCATGAGCTCACCCTGGACTGAAGTGGTCCTGCATCTGTCTGAAGAGCTCAAGCCGGGACACTATTAGACATCACACTAAACAGAGACCAACTTCATGCTTTCAGTAAGGAATAAAATGAACTCTTGCTGCATTCATGTTTACCTTTCTGTACTGTTCATGCAGTAGTGTTCTGTGTGGCGTATAACTCCACTGCGCTCAATACTAGAGTAATTCGTAAAGTTAAAAATAGCGAGTGAAACAAATATGCATTATGCAGCAGTAAAAATGTCTTCGCTGCGTGATCACATGAGTTCATTACATGCATGTTTAATTCAGCTCTGCTCAGAACTACAGACCGACTGCAGACTAATAATGAAGATGTTGAAAATAGCATTAATGAGCAGACCGTGCTGTGGGGGAATAATGCAGAGCGCAAATACAGGCTAATAATGGGAACTTTGCACTTGCTGGATATCAGGAGAGAGTTATTAAGCACTTATTTACCTCTTGACAGATTTCCAGAGATTCAGTGACGAGATGCTAAAACACTTTCAGGAAAAAAGAATCAAAAGGCTGAAATTTGTTGAAATAGTCACATTTTACCTAAAAATAAAGACTGAACTTAATTAAAAAAAAAAAACTTGTCATTTTTCTGAAAGCACAATTCATTTTCAAGTCTAAAAATTAAAACAATTAAAATAAAATAAAAAGAAAATAAAGGATTGAACAGTTATTTTTCAAATTCATTTCTTTTAAATATTTATTTCCTGATAATTCGGATAATGTAGTCTTGTCATTGGCCCATGAGCATTTCCTGCTTGTAATCAAACTATTTCATAACTTTAACAAAAGACAATTCAATCATAACTTAACGCTAAAACAGCTATCATAACGTTATTAAGCAATATGCGTCTCTTTTTGGATTTTCGGCAGCTATAGAAATCAAAAATGTAAAACAGGAATTACATTAGGACTTTTGTTATTGTTTTCATCCCACAAAACGGTCTATATCAGTTGGCGCAATAGCCTAGTAGTTAGCGCACCGACATATGGTGCAGTGGCACGTCAGGGCGTCATGAGTTCGAATCCCGACTCGAGGACATTTCTCTACCCTCCTCTCTTTCCAACTTCGCTTCCTGTCTCAATACTGTCCTATCTAATAAAGGCCAAAAATAAATCTTTAAAAAATAAATAAATAAATGGTCTATATCAAAAAGATTATACATTTATATGCACCTTAAAAAAGGTTTTAAAAATAAAGATGAAATCAAAAAGGAAATGATGGATTTTATTTATAAATGTTTTTTTTTATATTGTAGCAAGTTCTGTATCGATCAGGGTTCATACACATTTTTACTCCAAAAATTCCATGACTTTTCCAGGACTTTTGTTATTGTTTTTATCCCACAAAATGGTCTATATCAGTTGGCGCAATAGCCTAGTAGTTAGCGCACCGACATATGGTGAAGTCAGGGCGTCCAGAGTTCGAATTCCGACTCGAGGAAATTTCTCTACCCTCCTCTCTCTCTCCAACTTCGCTTCCTGTCTCAATACTGTCTAATAACCTTTATTTAACCAGGTAAGTCAATTGAGAACTAGTTCTCATTTACAATAACGACCTGGCCAAGAGGCAACATGAAAAGCAGATGCAGTACAAAGCACTAGGGACACAACACAATAACAACACAAATGCAGATAATAGCATATAAAACCAACAAAAAAAAAAAACTAAAAAACTAAAAACAAGCACATTGATCTTGAACTATTGACTGAATAGAATTTTTAAAAGATGATAGCGGAATGAAAGTGCTGAGCTTTAAGGTCTGCTGCAGATGATTCCAAGCATCAGCAGCAGAAAACTGAAAAGAGTAGCGACCAAATGAAGTGCGAACTTTGGGTATGCAAAGGTTAATGAATGAATGAATAATTGAATGAATGATAGGTCCTATCTAATAAAGGCCAAAAATACATCTTTTAAAAAATCTGTCCTTTTTTTTTTTCAGTGTAACGAAATAAAAACAGTGGACCAATTGGAGCGGTTTTTAGAGCGACCGCAACTTGACGTAGAAGTGCAGTCCCCCCCGCCCACCAATATTGATTGACAGGCGCATCACCATATGCTCAGTTTGTTGTTTCACGTTCGCCATTTTCAGCGTGTGAGTCAAATCGATATCCCCAAAGGAACACCCTTGCTCTATTTTTAGATGTTAGGCTCACTGGGCTCAACACAAGAGCAACATTCACCACATGATTGCTCTAATCGGAATTATTGTTTGTACCTTTAGGTAGGTTTGCAAACATGTGTACTTTTTATTGCGCCTACCTTAAAATTCAGCCGTTTGCATTTCTCGCGGTCACAGAAGCTCCCTATCATCTTAACTAGGTGCAGCTGGAAAGTGCCAGCGCCATGCATTTTAGAATTCTAAACATGGGCTTCTATCCTTCAAGTCGGCAACTGTCCGCGGCGCCCAGCCACGATTCGGGACACTTCATGTTTTTAAAATTTAATGAGCAATAATTTTTACAATATTTTAAAATCAAACCATTTCTGATAATTAAGCATGCTTTAGATCAATAAAATTATACATTTATATGTAAAGAAAATCTAAATTTTTGAGAAAATTTCCTTTAAAGGTTTAAACGGAGTGCTTAGAAATGCACATTACTGATAAAAATCTAGTTTTGATACATTCACAGTAGGAAATGTACAACATATTTTCAAAATAGCATCAACTTTAGTTATTAATCTAATCACTTCTACCCATACAATGTACTTTTGGGAGTATAAATGCATTTTATTTAAACATCGAGATCATTTTTAAAGTAAACATGCAATTATAAAAATAATAATAAAAATGAAGGATTTTATAAACAATAACTGTTTAATGTATTAAAAACAAACCATTAGAATTGCATTTTAATCAAAAATTAAGTTTTGATACATTCATAGTAGAAAATGTACAAAATATCTTCAAAATAGCATCATCTTTACTTGATCATCCAATCATTTTTATGCATACAGTGTGTTTTGGGTTATTTTGGTTATAATCTTATTTAAACATCAAGATAATTTTAAAAATAAACTTGCAATACAAATACTAATAAAAATGTAAGTTGTTTTTATAAACAACAATTGTTTAATATATCAAAAACAAACCATTTCAGATAATTCAGCATGTTCCTATCAATAAAATTATACATTTATATGTATTAAAATCCAACTATTAAGAAAACTGTCTTTAAATTTCAAAACTAAGTGCTTAGAAATGCACATTACTGATCAAAAATCAAGTTTTGATGCATTTACAATAAGAACTGTACAAAATATCTTTAAAATAGCCTCATCTCTACTTAATAATCTAATGATTTCCACCCATACAGTGTATTTTGGGTTATAATCGCATTATATTTCAAAAGTCGAGTTAGTTTTTTAAATTAAGTTGCAAATATTAAAAGTAATAATAATAATAATAATAATAATGAATTTTATGAACAATAACTGTTTAATATATTAAAAATAAACCATTTCAGATAATTAAGCATGTTCTATATCAATACATTTATGTTATAAAATGTAAATATTGAGGAAATTGCTTTTAAAGTTCCGAACAAAGAGCTTAGAAATGCACTAATCAAAAATTAAGTTTTGATAAATTCACAGTAGAAAATGCACAAAATAGCATCATCTCTATTTAATAATCTAACAATTTCCACCCATACAGTGTATTTTGGGTTATAATCGCATTTTATTTTAAAAGTCAAGTTAGTTTTTAAAATGAAGTTGCAATTATTAAAAGTAATAATAATAATAATAATAATGAAGAAGAATTTTATAAACAATAACGGTCACACTTTACAATAAGGTTCATTAGTTTATGTTAATTAATGCATTTACTAAGATGAACAAACAATGAACAATACATTTACTACTGTATTTGCTCATGTTAGTTAACGTTAGTTAATGAAAATACAGTTGTTCATTGTTAGTTCATGTTAACTCATGGTGCATTAACTAATGTTAACAAGCACGGACTTGGATGTTCTTAATGCATTAGTAAATGTTCAATTATGATTAATAATTGCTGTACAAGTGTTGTTCATGATTAGTTCATGTTAGTAAATGCATTAACTAATGAACCTTATTGTAAAGTGTTACCCCAATAACGGTTTAATATATTAAAAATAAACCATTTCAGACAATTAAGCATGTTCTATATCAATACATTTGTTATAAAATGTAAATATTGAGGAAATTGCTTTTAAAGTTCCAAACAAAGAGCTTAGAAATGCACTAATCAAAAATTAAATAGCAAAATAGCATCATCTCTACCTAATAATCTAATGATTTCCACCATACAGTGTATTTTGGTTATATTACTCCTTTCTGCAAGTACATTATCTAGTTTCTTTTCATTGAAATAAAAACCACCTTTATACTCGTATCGACGAGTTATTGCTCCAGAATGTCAGAGCGCGACTCCTCCTTGACAGCTTTCCAGTCTCCTAAAACACTTTCCCAAAAACCCCATCAAAAGGCTAAAATTTGTTGAGTAGCTTTTAACTGCGCTGCGCCTCGACATGCACATCATCGAGGTGAGAAAAAGGAGAGCAGAAAACATGCGCAAGGGCACCAAAAAAAAAAAGAGAGAAGGTGTCCGAAAAGTTGCCTGTGCTGAAGCATGTAGGTGTGAATGAAAATGGATGCGTTTCTGAGGGCCTGAAAGTTTGACCCGGGTCACCGAAAACAGCTCTAGTGCCGTCATCAGATCCCACAGGAGCTCGCCTTCATTTCTGACACACAAGGAGAGAGATGAACTTGTGCACTGACCTAGAATCAGTGCCGACTTTAACCTCAGCCATTACGAAACACACAGACAGCAGTGATTGGCTGACCTTTCCTCCACCTCTCGCTGACCCACACAAATCTCGCTCACACGTTCAGCCTTCTGGTTTTATTAGAAATTCTTCACATTTAATGCTGTAAAAAACAAAATAAATGGAACAAACTGTGCACTGGTTTGGTCAAACAGCTGTAAGACATAGAAAATGTATTCAAGGAATATTATTAATTATGAAAAATTGTCGATCTGTTTGGATGAATCTCAGGATGTGTTCAAGTCACATTATACCTGAAAATCAGGTAAACACATAC